CACACTCAAGAAATTAAATTTTGATACAATGATGCTATCTAATGTGGAACAAATGTTCAAATTTCTTAACAAATCCTAAAATAATGTCCTTTTTAAATTATTTTTTCTGATCCAGGAGCTAATCAAGGATTGTTGTGTCTCTTTAACTGAGACAGCTCCTCCTCTTCTTCTGCTGGTCAGCTGGCTGATGACACAGACCCTTTGGAAGAGAGCAGGTCAGATGTCGAGCTGGACACCCTCACCTTTTGCATTTGTCCGTCATTGTGTGGGGCACTGCTGCAGGCATGTTTACATATCCACTGAACCGGGTTAAGGAGAGGGCAGGGTTAGTTCATCTCCTTATACACAAGTTTGGTAACTTCAGTTCAAGTGGCGTTTGCCCCATGCCTGTCCCAGGGTCCCTTCTGCCTCGGTGGTTCCCACGCATGGCAGAGTTGGAGAAGCCTTGCTGTCCAAGAGCAGTCTGCAGAACAGCGGCAGCTGTCTCCCCTGGGAACTTGTCAGCAATGCAGCTAGGAAGCCCCTGACCCAGGAGAGCCCAGCCCTCTCTGTTCCCTTTCACTGTGTGGCTGACACTTCAGCAGGCTCCACGACCCTGGGAAACCACATACCTTCTCAGAAACCTCAGATTCCTTGGTGAAAAAGAAGCAGCTCTCACCTCAGCTCCACCAGCCCTGGCCACCAGTGAGAGCCCATTTCACAGACAGTGAGCGAGCGTGGACATGTGGTCCGTCTCAGAATGGGGCTTCACTACTGAATGCTGGGAGATCTGATGGCAGAGGGCTGGGATATCAGCCCCTCACCTGGCTGCTTCACCACTTCCCAGGGGCTTGAAAATGTCCCCCAGAAGACAGGCAGGGGGAAGGCCAGAAGTTCACCAAATGAAGAGAAAAATAAAATGAGACTCATACAAAGGGGAGTGTGCATGGACGCAGGAAGATGGAAGATTAAATACGATTCAAAGGGAAAGTGAGACAGAGGAAGTATTTACTGAAAGCCTACAAAGACGTGCCTGGGTGCTCTATGTCCACCTTCTACCCTTGATTACCCTCTATTAAATCCCCATGCTGAGGACACAGCCAGGCCGTCTGCATTCCAGGACAGCTTCTTGTCCTGTGTCTCACCACCTAGTCTTACCTGCCAGCCCATCTCAGAAAACAATCAGTGGCTATGTCTTGTGATCATTTCCCTTGGTTTGTCAATAGGAGAGTACTCACTCGTGATCACACCCAGCTGGCTGCAAAGAGATGGTCAGGGCAGCCGGGTGCCTGTGCAGAGCCTAGCCAGTGACAAGCCAAGATGCAGCCAGTGTCTCTCCATTAACCAGTTAGAAAGGGGCGGTCCCCAAATAGCCCCCAGGACCCACACAGCCTAGAGGACTTTCAAGAGAACCCTATTCAGAATCAACCAATGAATGCCACCGAGTGCCTGGTGCTGTGCTAATGACACCGACATACAATCTTGTCTTTAAAAACCTTTCTAGTAACCCCTCCCTAATGCTAGGCAGTGTTATCACCCCCAGCTTCTAGGTCATCCTAGCGAGGTTCCTGCAAGTCACAGAGACTGAAAGTCCAGATGTGAGCTCCAAGCACAGCGCATTTCCCTAACATCAGCATCTCTTTCAGCCGTAGATGGGAAAGCAGGGCTGTGAGTGGCCTCACTGGTTAAAGCTCAGGCTCCCACAGCGCAAGACTCCCAAGGATTGCTCTCCTGATTAAAATCCTGTAATGCTGATTCTGGCTACTTGTTGCTGTTGTGATCATGGCAAAACTGTGCCGGCAAAATCTTGATTAGCCAGGATCTTAAGAGAATTCCTCCATGCAGCCATGCAGCAAATGCTTACTTAGTACGTACCATGGGCTCCACTGCCTCCCGGGAATTGAGGATGCTAAAAACAACAGCACAGCCCCCACTCTCCAGGCACTCCCAGCTCAGAGGGGCAGACAGACAAGCAAATGCGTCAACCCAATGTGAATTGTGCAAAAGTCTACCGCTAGCAGGGGGAGGCAAAGCCTAGCCCAGCCTGTGGAGTCAGGGAAAGGCTTCCTGGAGGTGGTGGTGCTAGAGCTGCCAAGGTGAAGGCACATAGCCAGGGCATTCAAGGCAAAGGGAGCAGGGTGGGAGTCTGATTGACTTCCATGTTTTCTGCACTCTATTTTTGGGAAAGAGAAAAAAAAAAAAAAACATGATCTCCTCAAGTGAATCTGATTCATTTAAAAAAAAAAAAAAAAAAAAGTACGTACTAGACTATGAGCCCATGTTCAGCCCAACTTCCTGGCCTCCTCCTGCCATTAGCCACAGCCCAGAACAGAACAATGGATGCTTCCAGTACGAATTCCAATGCCTTGCAAAATCCTAAATCATCAACGAAAGGTTCAGTTATGTCCACTTGACTGGACTTTGTCTGAAGGTGGAGGAAAGATATAGGAGGTACCACTTACCAAGCATGCCTCAACAGCAGGGGTTCAAAGGCGACCCTACCTGAGTTTTCTTGTACAACCCACAATTTAGCAGAATCCACAATTCCAGCAACCACCCATCATATCCCATGCCATCCCCCATGTCCCCACCATGTGGTTCCCTGGCTTCTCACCAGTCCAGCTTTGACTGGGAACTCCCATTTCCCACCATTTGCATCTTGGTGCTAAGAAGAGGAGGCAGAGCATGGCTAAGGTCCCCATGTTAACGGCAACATCTAGCAAAATACCCCAAGTCTCCCCACTGTTTTCAGATGGTCAGAACTAGAATGGGGGCCAGCCAGAGCTGACTCACTGCATTCCATCCAGAGCTCCAGGAACATGAGCTCTGTGGTCTTATGTGATTTTATCTCTTGAAGTTTTCCTGTCTCCATCTATAAGATGGAAATGATAATTACGACCTCATAGAATTGTGTAAGCATAAGGGGAAATAAGTGCATTTTCCTAAATGAATGTGCTGGGCTAGGCATGGTCTTAAATCTTAAATCTTGAGTCCTCTCTGGGAAACTTGAGATTGGGCACTTTTAAATGTGCATCTTGAAACACTAATTCTAAGGGAGGATAAGATTGAGGCTGTGACACTAACTGGCCTTAGCCATCCTTTCTGAAGACTGGGACAGATATGGCCAGGGGACCCTGGCTACGAAAAGTGGGAAAAGAAAGAGGGAGACCAGAAGCTTCGATAGGACCCAAAGATTGGAAGCTAGCCAATATGTACTGCACACTATGTGTAGAAGGACAAGGGGATCTGTTATACTTGTGTATACTCTAATAATTTGTTTTTCTTTTTTACACTATCATACGCTTCAGCATTTGCTTCACTTAAATTTAGCTAAAATGTTCCAGAGACAGGTGAATGCACTTTTTAAATCCTTTTTTACCACCTAAAATGAGCAAATGAAAGAGCAATAATTGCTGAGCCTCTCTCCAGCCAGACTGTTACAAACACCTGCAAATACACGTTCATAGACATCAAAAGCTTGACTTCTCCAAGCCCACAGGATCCCCCACTCTCTCTCCACTGGTTCCTCAGTTTTCAGGGAGGCACCCACCCTGGCTTTGATAACCTCTCTGCAGAAACCTGTTGCTAGGTCTGAGGGCCTGTGTGGATGCCCCACCTGGTGGTCAAATCAGGAAAAGCACTGCAACTAAGGAATATTGACAGAGAAACTAACTCCAACCTTCCCTGAGCCCACACCCTGTAAGTCATGGGTCAACTGAAAGAGACCAGAGAGGAAAGTCCACTGTTTAAGGCATAAGGGGGTGATGGTGTCAAGGTCATGGCCAATTCCCTGCCAAACCTGGTTGCCATACAGCTTCCTAAAAAGCTAAGCTAAGTCCATACAGCTTCCTAAAAAGCTCAGTTCATAGCTAGAAATGCCCTGGCAGCCCCGGAGAGCGTGCTGCCAGTCAGGATTGCCAGTCCCAGATGAAGAACCTCCAATGTCAACCTCTCCCCCTCCCCAAATACAGGCGGATTTTCCATGCTAAGTGCCTGGTGAAGAGGGAGTTCCATCTTCCCTCTGTCCATGTATTCGCATTTACCTCCTGACAGGCAGGGAAATTCTTTCCAGGGGAAGAGAGAGAGAGAGAGAGAGAGAGAGAGAGAGAGAGAGAGAGAGAGAGAGAGTGTGTGTGTGTGTGTGTGTGTGTGTTTGAGGGGAGCCAAAACCTCCAGACCAGATCTCCGACAACCCCAGTGTCTGGGGACAGCCAAAGCAGAAGAGGGGACAGCAGTTGAGGCTTAAGGGATATCAGAACCCAAATCATGGAGATGTTCCAGCCAAAATAATCCCCAGCCCCAACCCCCTCCATTATGCCCCAACACCTGCACACACACACACACACACACACACACACACACACACACCCCTCATATTTCCATAAAAGAAACAGAAAGACATGCATTTGGTCCAGTCCAAGTTCCAAAGAGAGCAACACCAGGTTATTTTCTATACAGAATGGATCCCTAAGAAGGGCAGCACACACATCCAACACACACTTGTGTGCAATACATGCACACACGCGTATATATACACGCACACACATACAAGCACACACACACCACTGTGGGCAGTGTGCACCACTCCCATCCTCAACTCCAGGACCTGTCGTCTAAACTCTGGCGTTCCTAAAAAGAGGGATCCACCCCAAGCAGGAACAGAGCTAATGGGAGGACTGGTTTTACCCTGTTCAACCCCTGGTTAATTAGGGGGGAAAAAGCACATAATTCCTTTAAGCTTCCATACCAACAGCACAGAAGGTGCTATGCATTGGGCATTGGCGGCACACACGCCAGTCCTATCTCCAAATTGGCTGGGGAACCACGCTTGGTTCCTCGGAGCCCTGGTGTCCAACACCGGAAAAGCGGCTCACAGACACACAGACAGGCACAACAAACAGGCACCCAGGGCAGGCAGGCCCTCATTCAGCGGGAGAGCACCTCTAGGTGTTAAAGCCCCAGAGACTTCCTCAGTTCCAGGCCCACCCGAACCCCAACATGCGCCGCCGCCAGGTACTCACACCAGCGCGTGGTACAGCAGCGCCCAGCCCCGCGGTCTCTCGAGGGCGTCGTAGATCAAAGTTTGGATGCGCCGGTACTTGGCGTTGTTCCTCTTGACCGGGCGGCTCAGCGGGGTCTTGGCCAGGAGCCCGATGCCCTGCGGGGTCCTCCGCAGCCCCTCGTCGCGGCCACCGCCCTCTAGTAGCAGGGTCCCGTCTTTGTCAGCTCCGGCTCCAAGCGCCAAGGTGACTTGCTCCACGTCTCCGGGCACCAGCCCCACTTTCCGCTCCTCGTCGCCGGCCGCCGCCGCGTCCCCTCCGGCTGGGTTAGCGGCCCCGCCGCCTCCGCCGCCCCCGTCGCCGCCGCCGCCAGCCGCCCCCGCCGCCCTGCGCGCCTTGAGCCCCATCTGCCTCGCCCCCGCCGGCCGCTTCGCCTTCTCCGCTGCTGCTTGGGGAAGAAGGGGCGCTCGGGTTGCGTGGACGAGGCGGCGGCGGCAGCTGCAAGCCCAGGAACTCCAATGCCATGATCCGCGCGCCCCTCCCCACCCACCCCCCCAAAAGCAGGCAAAGGGAGGCCCCCCGGGGGGCACGGGAGGCCGGGTGGGGGG